CTGATAGTGCACGAGTAGCTCAGCCAATCAGATTGCAGCATTTGCATTAGTTTACCAGTAGAATTCTACTAAAACAGAATAGACAGAGAGTAGCGTAACCAGTATAGAACGGCATTGGTAATAGAATCAAGTAGCAGATTTATATTAACACATGTAACAGCAATTAGTGGAATTCTACTCGTGTACCAATGCAAACTTTACAATCTGATTGGCTGAGTTACCCTTTCACAATCGTCCATTAGTGTGCAGTGTATTTAGTTCGTGCGATTTTGTTAAGGCGTGAAGATTAATACGACGTTGAGAAATGATTGGAAATCGTTATTTGAAGGCAATTTGGTAAGAATTCCACTAAAACATTTAGGTTATGAGCTCGTAATTCCTATGAGGTGCACGACAGGCTCGGAAGCCAAAGCTCACAAAATGAGCGTCTGTGTACATGTATTGGGGAGGCGCGGTGGCCTCATGGTTAGTGCGCTCGTCTCCGGATCGAGCGGTCTGGGTTCAAGCCCTGTGTTGTGTTCTTGGGCGAGACACTTTACTCTCACAGTGTCTCTCTCTCCACCGGGTACCGGCGAGCTTAATGCTGGGGGTAACCCTGCGATGGGCTAGCATCCCATCCAGGGGGGAGTAGAAATACTCCTGGTCCCTTCATGCTGCAGAAACCGGGATAAGCTCCGGCCTGATGGGCCACTTGGCTTGTATACTGACTTGAAACATGCGTTAGAATCCCGCGGGGGTACTCCCAGAAAAGTTGGACGGGGGTGTGCGGCCCACTTCCTAAAACCTTTACCCTATTTATGACCAAAATATGCGATTTTCGCCACCCCGCGTACGACCGTTGCGGCTGGCACAGTTGCCCTAAATATAAGGCTATCAAGGGCTTTTGTTGACGGTCTTATTGATAATGATGAAAAAGTAGCTTCTTCTAAGAAACATACCCAATTCAAGACCAGAGCGCTAAAACCATACCCTATTTAAGACCACAATGGCCAAAATCGATACCCTATTTATGATCAAAACGGCTGAAAAACCCTACCCTTTGGTGCCGCATATACCTATACAGCTCACATAAGGGAGTACTCTCCCCCCCCCCGCCCCCCTGGGATTAGAACTGAGGTAACGCAACAATCAAACTACAAGGATTTGTATGGGGAAAATGGTCACCAGCCTGTAGGGGCCTGTTTCCTTGTTCTTCGTGAGGTTTCTTGGCTAATTTATGGCTTTGACCTCTATATATCCTTTCCTAAATTTGACTAATTGTAAAACACTCTCTTTAACAGTTAGATTATGAGCCCGGGGAGGTTACTCCCTAACATGGGCTATATAGATAAGAGCGGGCCCAAAGGGTATGGCTTTTTAGCCGTTTTGGTCAAAAATAGGGTATCAGTTTTGTTCAGTTTGTTCTCAAATAGGATATGGTTTTTGAATTGGGTCAGATTGGGTATGCTTTTTGGAAGAAGCTACCGGCTTTTCGTCATTATCTATCAGACCATCATCAAAAGCCCTTCACAATGCCTTTGAATGAATTAGGAAACTAATTATAAGGCAGGTTTCAAACATGATGTCAATTTAAGGATCAGGTCTTAAAAAGGGTATCGAATTTTTGGCCAGGTCATAAATAGGGAAGGGAAAATCACAGAGTTTGGTCTAAATAGGGTAAGGGTTTTCGGAAGCGGGCCACACACCCCCACTTGCGTGTAATTTGTCTAGGAGTACCCTCTGGAATTATGACCGAGATTTCGTGTTAATTATCTGAAATTTATATACACAAGATTAAATTAAAATACAATCACTATGAAATTACAATAAAATACAATAAAAAATTGCAATAACTTAAGAACTTAAAAATTTACCTAAGAGTTTATTTCCTAATTTTTTTTGGAAAATAAAAAACAGATTCACATAACTTTAAAAGTATTGTCTAAATCATTCCATAACGAAACTGAGTGATATAAAAAGGTCCTTTGTCCTGCAGCGCTCTAGAAATCTCACTCATAATCTACATACTTGTTAATAAGGGTTGCACTATAATGAAAACATGAGTAATCATCGTAGTTATACACACAACTTAAGCAGTTGATTTCACAACTGCTCAAGTTGTGTGTGTAACTGCGATGATCAATCATGTCTTCAACTCTTCATATCTATCCCCCGTGTTCTTGGGCAAGACACTTTACTCTCACAGTGCCTCTCTCCACCCAGGTATATAAATGACTCTGCAATGGACTAACATCCCATCGGGGGGGAAGGGGGGAAGGGGGGAAAGGGTAGAGATGCTCCTAAAGTTTCATGTTACGAGAACCGGGATAAGCTCCGGCCTGATGGACCACTTAGCTCGTATGCAGAATTTAAACCTTTACCTTACTACAAATGCTGAAATTGTCTCTAAATTGGTTTTATTTTTAGGATGTTTTCCATTCATGCTCTAATCTAAAAACGGTGAAAGGCGAACGGCGAATGGCAAACGTCTAACCTCAAACTGCAGTTACTGGAGTCACTGATAATGACAAGCCGTATAAGAAAAAATATACAAACTGGTATATCTCCTGATGTCCCCTAGGAAAAGGCGCGAACTGTTTGTCAGTGCTGTTAGGGCCTGCTAATATCAGCCCGGTTGACCGGGCTGGCGCGGTGACTGAGATCTTGCTTCATTCCTATTTCCTTTATAAAAATTTCGATGTCTTGATATGAAAAGGCAGTCCAGCCCGGTCACCGAGACACCGAGATCTCGGCAACCGGGATGAAAATTTTCCCATATGAACACACCAGCCGGGGTGACCGGGACAAACTTTCTTTTTTAAATTTGACAATTTGTAGCTTCCATTTTGGTGTTGTTTCTTGAATTTCATCCCGGTCGACCGGGTTGAAATTTCCTATATGAACAGACAACAAAATTTGTCCCGGTTACCGAGTTCATATATATGAATGGGCCCTTGGTCAGAAAAGATTGAAATCACTGCGGGTAAATTCTCCCCTCCCCTCCCCCGCCACCCCTTCTAAACGAGTACAATGCAAGAAACATTAACTGTATTTGATTTTTTTTTTTTTAATAGAAATGTACTGTATTTCTACAGCTCGTACTCCAGTCGCGTCTAACAAGCTCAAAGCCTACAGGCGAGAAAGGGAAAAGTTATTTACAATTTTTTCATTTACTTTTCTAACTATACACACTGATTCGTTATTTTTTAGAAATCTACTTTCACTTCCAAAGGGACCGTAAAAAACCTACATTCTCTCTTTCTCTCTCGTTAGAAATATATTTATAAAGAATATATAAATTTAGCAAGCGCTTCTGAACGGGGCGGTTTTAAAATGACTGCTTATCATTTCTCAAGCTCTGATTGGTCTTAAAAAAGAACAAAAACTAATCAATTTGACTTGGAAACTATCGCGAGTTCTTTGACTGTTGAGCCCTCCTAACTTGTTTAACTAGGTTCGTGGTGGTTAAGCGATAACTTGTTTAACCAGTTTCGTGGTTTGCAAGTCTTCTGAAAACCGCCCCGTCAAAAGAGAACTTTAGTTTTGCATCTGAGAACACACACTGCGCCCGCGTGTAACATCTCAAAGTGAAATAATGGAATATCTTCCAACATTTTGAGTGTCGGCCTGAACAAGAGGTTCCGTGTTTTCAAGGGACTCAGTGGGCAGGCCGCTTTCTAATGGAGGCAACATTCCGCATATCTGAGCGCGTTTATAAGAAGATGTTCGAAAGACTTGTTTATGTGGATTTTGTTTGTAAGATGGAGTACGCCGCAGCGGATTGTGTCTCGCGTCGATGTGAAGTTGTTGGAGTTGATGATGCAAAGGAAGAGGATACGGAGCCTGATTATCCGGTTGAAAACTAGTTTTTTGTTCCACAACCGACTCCATTCTCCTGCCAGTTCTTTCCTGTTCATTGACAGCCATGAGTTCCTCATAGTGTTTTTGTAGCTCTTCCCGCATTTGCTCGTAGACAAAGTGTTGTTTGTATTCGGAGTGAACCGCCTGCTGGTCCGTAAGTTCAGAGGGCGACAGAGATTTTTGGTACTGTTCTTGCAGTTTCTGATGCTCCTGTTGCAGTTTTCTTATTCTATTGTGCGTTGTTGCCACCCGTAAGTTCTGTTGAAACGCAAGCGCTACGGCATTACCGTCCGACGCACGCCGACCGAGTGGCACGTGAAAATTTGACCTGGGATCGTGTAGGTGTACTCCAGAGCCTCTATGTAACATGAATTGTGAACTGGACGCCGAGGAGCCATTAGTTGGTCCGCAGTGTGAAACCACAATAGCTGGTTTCATTTGAAACGTGGGCATGTTCGATTCTTCAAGCACTTCCTCTGAACTACCGCGCGCCAACCACAGTGGATGGTGCGCGGGTACAACTAACGGTTCCTTGGGCATAGTATGAACAGTATGCCGCCTAACTTTGGGCTTTTCTTCGTCAGTGTCCTCGCTTTCCATGTTTTCTACCGCAGAAGAGTCCGTTTCTCTACTAACACTGTTGTCTAATGATAGCGCCGGCCCTATCATTTGACGCGGCGAGATCGACCGCGCCTTGAGTCCGGGCTCGCGTATCGGTGACAGTTCTTTTACGCACTCCGTGGCGATTTCCCGCCTTATCTCAGGCGGCGTTGGAATGCGCTCATGCAGTTCGTTGATGGCGTATTGTAAAGGAATATAAGGTCGAGCTGGTTGTGCCGGGACCGTGCGCTGCGCTGCGCGACTGGGTACCACAACAACATTATTCCTACTCCCTCGTACAACAGCGGCCTCCGCGATGCCACTTGGCCGACGAAGTCTGGTCTCTAGTTGAGTTTGTAGTGGGTAACTAGCCCTGTGCTGCCGCAACCGATCCACAAGTAAGAAATAAATAGCAGTGTGATGGTCATACGCGTTTTCAGCTAGAGCCTGGAAAGGAAAGACAATGTCTCAGTTAGAGTCCGTTGAAACCATCTATCTTCAAATCATCTCTTTTCAGAACACACTAGAGCAGCGCAGGGGTTCAAACTAAATGAGACTTCTCCCTTCATTTCCACACGATTCGTCCACTACACAATTGGGAAAAATCATAATAAATTTCTTAATTTGTATAAGGCATTAACACTCAAATGGTTCTATGCCTCAAAAACAGGTTCTTGTCTAGTTTCCCATGTCATGACTGTCCCGTCCCGAATGACTGTCCCTGTCCCGTCACTCGGGACGGGATTCCCGTCCCACATGACGCGCTCTTAGCGTGAAGGTTTCTCCCATGGGGAAAGATTAGGAAGTATTAGTACCGTTTTCGTTCTTTCGATATCGATGCCCAGTCCGTGCATGAGTTCGAGAGCTTGTTCGTTGTACTCATCCAGAATTTTCTCTCCCTCCAAATTTTCTTCGTCATTGTAGGAGAGGATGGTTTTTACAGCAGGATCTGCTTGCATCCATTTGTGTTTCTTGATCTGTTCGATAGTGTAACGCTGGTTTGGGTCTTTGACAAGCATGTGTCGAATCAAGTGTTCGCATTCTGTGGAGGAAATGAGAACTGGACATTAAAATTGTCCAAGCTAAACATGAGATTTGCGGCTACTGCAAATTTGATAAAGCTGGAAACTCCAAGTAACTACCTTTATGTGGACATAACATAGAAAGGGCAAAAAAAGAATAACAATAGCAACCGATACGAAGACGAGGAGAAATCTTCGTAGCGTCCGAAGTGAATCCGAACTTTAACATCCAATCACAAAATAGAGCGAGCACTCAGCAGCATGTCACTGGGTTGCTCAGCAACAAAACACACGTGGGATCGAAAAGGACTGTTTGAACATGCTTGGGTCGCTGCGACGTTTTGCGAGGTCTTTTTTGTTCGCAATTTGCCATAATTTCACGCTCTGTGAGTATTCTGCCGTTCGTCCTGAAGTTTTAATTCAACTGGTTGCTGTTAGTAACAGTGTAACAGCGAAAACAGGTAAGTTTGACTAGTGGACCGTCTCGATCCATTTTGTTTTTCAACACGATCCACGATTTCTGTAAAAAACGAGACGCGATCTCAAAAAACTTTTGTAAAATGAAACAAATTTGTCCAATTCCAGTTAAGCTTACCCGTGGACATAAAGAAAGGGATCCTGAATCGGCCTTCCAACACTCTGTCTCGAAGGGCTGGGAGAGTTCCACCATCAAACGGCAACGCACGGCAGATAAGTACGTACAGAACAACACCCAAACTCTGTCAAAATCAATACGGTCGGATTGTTTAGTTTATGATAATTTTCAACAATCTCCACTTAATACTGAAACAAACTCAAACACAACAGTGTTGACAATTTAAGAAACTTATCATTTATGGTTCAAGCTATGTCACTACTTCTTGTAACACCTACCCAAATGTCCAACTGTGGACCATGGTAGAGTTTTCCTTCAAAGACCTCAGGGGCAGCATAAGGGGGACTGCCACACCACGTGTTTAAAGGACTCCCAGGGGTGTAGTAGTTGCCAAAACCAAAGTCTGAAAGACAAAGGTCACAGACAATTAATACTATTTCCCTAGAAACCTATACAAGCAGTATAGTGCTATTGAGTAATTAGTTGATATTAGACTGGTCTATTTCCAAGATCTTGCATGGTCACTCAGTTTTGTTGCAAAAATTTTGTTACGTCCATATGAGAAGACAGGCTACCCAGTCGTAACTAAGAAGTTAAATTTTCAACCAAAATCACAGACAGCCCAAGCGTAATATACATGTAAAAGTTTGTATAGGGATAAGGAACTGAAAAAGTCACCTACTGTGTCTTATTATAACACCATGGCTTATATTAACAAAATTCGCTCAAATCTTGTTTAAAGATCCCAGGATGAGAAGGATGGACACCAAACAATGTCTAAACATCTTTATTTGGTGAATTACTCGTACATTTATCGATTTCAATTTCACCTCCAAATCTCCATACAAACTCTTACATAACGCTTGGGTGACCTATGTTGAGAATTCAGTAACTGGACTGGAAATCTTTCTCATATGAACACTCTAGCCAGGTTACTAGGACAAAACTAACTTTGCTTCACCCCCAGGGTGACATGACTGCTACAACTAAAAGCTAAGTAATTTTGTGCTATTCTTTCACCCCAACTTCTCCAGCCATCTTACCTGCGATTTTTATGTTTAAACTCTGGTCTAGAAGAAGATTTTCAGCCTAAAACAAAAATGAAACAAGATAATTAGGTACTCATTTGTATGGCTTTTATTTTACTATCACATGTACAACTTTGGAGAACATGTTTGGCAAGGTAACAAGATATGTACATGCAAACTGATTGATTTCAATCCAATTTTAATGTTTGTGCGGTCAAGACAGCATCCCATAGAAACATGTTTTGAACACTACGAAAATAGTACTGTACGTCCAGAGGTGTATTGCAGAGATCACAATTGAATCTACCATACATAAGGTATGTGTAGTTTGAATCCAAGCAAAGCAAACTAACAAACAAAAAGACATCATTTAAGCTTTGAGGCCAACGACACAGAGGAAGGGAGAATCCATTTTGACAAGTCAGATTTAATCAGACAGTGAAAGAAAAATCCAAGCTGTTTTCATTTAAGCAAAGATTTGGTGAACATGTAAGTGCCCCTTAAAATGTAAATTATTGTGCTATTAGTGAATTGCATTCTGGAAATGGACACATACACTATAAAAAACAATTTAACTCTAAATTAGTAAGTATGTTTTGCTTTAACAACAACAATTTACCTTTAAGTCGCGATGCACCACATGCCTTTTGTGGCAATACTCCACTGCACTTAAAATCTGCGCAAACTTTTTCCGTGCCTCTTTCTCAGGCAGAGCACCATGTGACAAATAATCTGTGAGTCAAGCATACAGATTGATTATTTATTTGACCACATGTCTGGATCTGACCTATGAACAGACATCTAATATTTTTTCAACCTAAAACTGGACAGTGAAGAAAAATAGAAAAGTCTTTATACAGTTAATCTGAATCTAGATTTCTTCTGCATCAAGAGCTTAAAAAAAAATCGAAAGAGATGCACGTAACTCCTATACATGTAGCTGTCAGTAATATTGCATATGCACATAAACTTATTTGTAGATGTACATGTAAGTTCTGTGGATAAGATGAAGTTCAATTTTTCTATGGACTGTGTACACATATTTCACTGGCGGCCACTATTTCCAGTTTCCAGATGACAACTTACAATAAACTGAATTTTTTAGCAAAATGATTTCAAATAAACGTTTTTGCATATTTACATTGACTGGCAAACACTCTTCTTCACAATCAAATAAAAAGACAAGGTTTACATATTTTCATCACTGAGTGATTATTTGCATTTCCCAAGGCACAATGAAAATTATGTTATCACAGCAACGTTTAACATTTAAAAGCAATGAAAAAATACTTAAATAAACAGCCAATTAAAAAAACTTTTAAACAAATTTAATGAACGCAAAGCAGTTTTTGACACCCTCCAACTGTGATAATGTGATAGTTTTTTGAGGAAGATAATCAGACTTCCTCTTAACATTGACCTCTCTAGTTTTATCAGAGTCGATTGTGTTCCATCTTTGTGATTCATCACAACAATTTCATACTGGATGCAAAGAGAAAAGTTACTTGAATTGGTAAAAATACTTCAAAAATAATCAGAAAAGAATCGTGCACTGTGGCTTCTCTTGAAATGTACAAGAATTTTCCATGGAAATTGTACTTAACTACATAATGAGTTTGTCCCCTATTTTCCATTAAAATAATTCGCAAAATGCAAAAATTCAAAGGAACTGAGCTTAGTTCAGATGACAACAACAAAACCCTAAAGGAACAGATATACCATGGATCAGAGACCTTTATGAGGGCCTCCGGAACTTAAACCCATTGAAAACTAGAAACACATCCAATAGAACCAGAATCTTGAAAATTTGAAGGACGTTTCATTCAAAGACTCTTTGACTAAGTAACCAACGTTTGTTTTCATTAGAACTGCTGTCACTTGTATTTTCTCGCTTCAATGCATTACCGGCGAATAGGCGCCATGTTGGCAAGATGGAATATTTTAAGCTTTATGGTGGCAGCCGGCACGAAACGAAACCCAAAAGCAAAACATTGATCGATTTGAAAATCGATAAAAACGAATAAGAAAACAAGACGTGATGATAAATGTGATATTTCATAGTGTACCCAAACTAATACGTCACGCATACCAAGATATGGGTGAATATTGACTGAGCCGCCACATAGCAGAACTCGAATTCACCGGAAAACACACGGCCTTTCGATGTTTCGCCGAATTCCGAAGCCTGTATTCGTAGCATTGATTTCAGAGAACACTCCTAAAGCTGAAGAACGTAAAGAGTATCGTTCAACAGAATGATCAATCGCCAAGGAACAAGGAATAACATAACGGACGGGATACAATCACGCTTTCCTACAAATTAGAAATCACTAGCGATATTAGCATAAGGGGGTCTTTAAAAACATGACACTTACTAAACATTTCTCCGTTGCTGGCGTATTCCGTGACAAGATACAACATACTTTTCGTTTCCATCACCTTTCGAGGAGAAAAACACAAAGAGGAAAATTAGCTTTGCAAGATGAGTCGGTGAAATAAGCATGACATCAAAGGGCTTGAAGCTATGTCACAAATGAGGCCTTGGCTGTTACTAATACAATGCAGCGGTGAAGTTTGCCGATGCATTCAAGCGCTGCTAAAGGCACTTCTGTTATAGAATACAGCGAGTGCATTGTGTTGGCTTACCTGGTATAGTTTGACGATATGCGGATGGTGAAGTAGTTTCATTATCTGTATTTCGCGATGTACTTTCTTGAGGTTCGTTTCATCCAACTGAGTTTTGTCGATGATCTTAATGGCGACCTGGGCAAACGGAGAGAAAGGCAAAAGATTTCAGTGAAATTTGCGTTCGCCAAGTGCACCATGTTCGGCTTTCGCACGAACGCAGCATCGAACATCAACGAGTAACATTGTTCGATCGATCTCTTTCACGGTGCACAAAAACAGCTTCGATTCGCTCACCTGGCTTTTTGTGACGCGGTGTCTTGCTAGCTTCACCACCGCGAAGTTGCCTTTGCCGATGGTCTTCTCGATGTCGTAGAATCCAACTTTAATCGCCCTCTTTGTGCATTCCGTCGCCATTTTAGGCCCTGCATCCGAAGAGATGCGCCTGTGAAGGCGAAATACAATGCGTTTGAGCGACAAGATTCACAAGGAAACGCGTTATTCATTTGACAAAGACATTTCGCCTCCAGTCTATGCATGCTTTTCATATGCAAGACGTAGCCAATGACGTCATCGGACGTAATTGATGCCACGAACGCGTAAGGTTGGCATGGGGATAGGACGGGTCAGCGAGCACAAAGGAAAGGTGACGTCAAAGTTGTTGTACTCTGACAAAGAACCTTTCGAGGTTTGATCTCCCTCGTTTGTTAGTGAAACTGACCGCACAATTCGCTTTAATTACAAACTTAATCGATGTTTTCTTGCTATTTTGCTGTGAGAAACCAGCGCGAGACTAAAGCGGTTTTCTGTGCGGAAACTGTCCGAGCCGATCCCTTTTGATCCCGATACATAAATGACCAAACAGGTCGATTTTCAGGATTTTCAATCTGTCAGATTGAGTCCCGAAAATGGCTGAAATTAAATGTTAGATGTCACAGTACTTTGTTACTTGCTAACCTAAGGCCTTGCTAAACATTAGAAAAATTGAAATTTCCTATTGTTATGCGGAGCAGAACTGCGTGGCGAGCGGTGTGTTAGGCAGTGCACTAACATTACATACCGAAGAAAGTGTCAAAAGCTCCAAATGTTTGTGTTTAAGGGAAAACAAAAAATTAAGAAAAACCATTTAAGAGTGCTTTGTTGAACAGTCCCTCAAAGCGGTCAGCTTAATCAATTCAAGCTAGCAAGAGCCGAAACCGCACGTAAATTGCGATCACAAAGGTTTTTCCGGACAAAAATATATTTATAGGAAAAATGTGCGGTAATTCAAGCGAATTTACGTTGTAAACAGGAAAAGGCAGGCAAGCTGATGAAAAGATATGTCGGGTGAGCTCGAGGGATACAGATTTTTTAAATAACTGTCGAAATATGGCCACAGAACAAGCTGAAGACGACTTCGATTTTCCTCTATGTCATCATATGTTTGTAATTTTATGATAGTTTTGTGTTTTTGCATTAAGATGAAAGCCTGCTAGCGAGGTCAGCGCTGCCAATACTGGTTTGTTTTCGCTGTTTTAAACCTGATAAAGTTGAACAGCTACGTTCAAGAATAAGGCCACCGATTTCCGATAACTTGGCACGTCTTACCAATTTTAAGAAATGCGACTCTGCCTTTTCAACGATCGATGCAAGAAAAAGGCCATGAAATTATAAGATCGCGCGCGAAAATCCATTAAAAAGTCACACTACATCAAATATTGCCCCAAGCTCACCTGAAGGTTTCGTTTTGCACAATCTTGACGGCTTTTGCGCAAAGCTCGATGCAAAATGCGTCTCAACGAACTATGGGACTGAATGAGCTCGCTACTGTTCCCTGTTGGGTTTGCAACGTCGAAATTTTGCATTTTAATTTAAAACAACAAATCGCTAAAACACAGTCACATCCGAAGACTTGATGACGTCACGGTGAAGGTTCTGGCGTCTTGTGGAAAGCTCCATAAGGCCAACTGCGCGTTCACGATTTGTTACATAACGTGCAAAGCGGTTGTGAAATAAATTTCCAGCTTAGAAATTGCTGCCAGACTGTGGCAAAATAAACATCGTCTCCATTAACGATCGACGGGCGCAATAACTTTCAGATATTTTGAATTGCAAAAAAGGGCGTAATAAATTAAATTTTATTACGAAATATTTCGGCGGGGTACCGTAAGTTACAAGTTCGAAGACACTGTCAGCAAGAAATTGGGAATCAAGAAAACCATCGAACTTGTGCAGAATTTGTTCTTCGTGTGTCGCCAAATTATTACCGACTACTGTTGAACACGGTTCGGAAGGTGATAAACTGCTCAGTTATAAACAACCTTCTCCATCTTTATTAATTTATCACCTTCCCCAGCTGTTTGGAATTAAGAGTCAACAAGTATCAAGTGTTCCAAACTCCAATCTTGTTATCCGTCAGCGCGTCAACATTTCGTGATTGGCTCTGATTCTTTTCAAGAAGGGTGCGAGTATACTCCAAATTGCGGCTGCAAGAGCGGAAAACAGTTGCAAAAAAATCGCTATGAAATATCACTTTGAAATTTTGATTTACCTCGTACTTAGGAACCTTCTAAATCTGTTGCTTCTCGCAGCGTTTTCTGTGTAAAAGAAGGTCAACATTTAGAGAGCTCTGTTCAATTTGTCCCTCGACTGCGGAACATAGCAGACTGTGACTGGGCAGGTGATGTCCGGGTCATTTATTTCGAAATCAAGCGGTGCCTGTGCGTTGTAAATATACACTTACGTACGCTATTTTTAGTTCTCAGTTTGTTAGAAAGGTCAACTTGCTCTCAACACGGGTGACTGGCCATATCAAGACAAGCTGCGGTGTGATTTGAAGCGTATTCGCCGAAAACCTCCCACACTAATTTGCGGTGAGTCACGTTTTTTCAAGCGGACCTCGTTCGTGCAATTGTGAATTATCAAACAGTCTACGCTCGATTTGCGCTGCTCTCCCATGTCTACTCTACCGTCCTCCCCGAGAAAAGAATTCGGTGAGGAGAGCGGGCTTCTTTCCCGAACAGCGGCTGGTAATCGAGCCTACAAGCAGTTGCGTTTCCAGAGAGAAAGATTTCCTTCACGTTATGCGAATCCTAGAAATCGAATTCTATGCTTTTGGTATTTGTATTTGAAATCTCCAAGTCATTGCAACAGGGACGTGTTGAAGTTAGCACCGACCACGCACCGTTTATAATGGGCACCTGACTCCAACATGATGTAAATGCACGTGATATCCCACACAGGCTAACTGATTTTAGTGTTAATTGACTATAACTTGTTTTAAACGGCCATGAATCAATATTTCGTCCTCTTCTTGATCGCATTGTGTGGCTGCCTCAGTACAAGTGCTCACGTCTTCGACAGGAACCGGTACGTCAGTTCACTATCCGTGTTTCACGCGTGGCTTCCTCGCAGAATTCATCGCGCGAGTAAATACGTCTGTTGGTGTGCTCTGTTTGGAACTGAGTTTTATATCTTGTTTGAAAAGGGATAAAACGACAAATTCAATTCAATTCATTCGATTCATTCTGTTTTTATATTCAATAAATAAAATTGGCTGTAAGAAATGAAGCTAAATGAGGCAGCGGAATTTTTCGAGTTCAGTCGCTCTACGTAATCCGCGTCAATCTCTCTCAGTCCTACTTGTTTCTAACTTTGCTGTTGTTTACGTACCTTGCAAAGCTGTTATTTTAAGGTTTCCTTTGATTACGATAAGTCCAGCTTTTTCCACAAAAGGGATCTATTTTCTTTCATCTGTCCTTTAACCGTGGGCGACTTTGAATCGAATCCAACAGGGTTGATGATTAATACATGTGCCACAGGAATAGTTTGCAAGCGCTAAAAGCAATCAACTGTGTTTCTTGCCAAGAAAAATACCTACGCCTCCTTGGTTTTCGAAGACGTCAAAACATTAAGAAGGATTAATCGACTGTGGGTTTTGTGTGGCCCTATTTCCCCAGGAAAAAGGAAAAAAAAGTCTTGGCGGAAGCTACTTTTCATTTCATCACGTCGAGTTAGTGCAACATTTTCTGGGAAAACCCCGATAACGGCTGATTGTTTTTCTTGTGAAACCGTCAGAACGAGCGCTGACTTCAACAGGAAAACGGAACACTCTGTGTTCACAGCAAAGGAAATTTACCGGCAAGTCATGAGCTAGATAAGGCAAAATCCACTTGATGTTTAGGCATAAACTTCCGCACAGATCTAAAAGCCCTATTCATTTTCGTTTGGTTGATTTTTTGCCTTTCCTCATTACAGCGGGTTTTGAGCAATTAAGTCATATTCGTATGTCTAGAAATGCTACATTTATAGAAACAAATTTGACTTTATAATGATGTTAGCTGAACCTTCAAACGTCCGTCGCTTTTTAACACTTTGTTTCTTCGTATGTTTAGAAATATTTTATCGCAGTTTTTATATTGAAATATATAGAAAAGGGAAATGAAAAACGCTCTATTTATTTAATAACATGCTTTGTAGTGATTGCCTTAATTTTTTGTCCGTGATAGCTCTAAGAATTTTAAGCTTGGTGATTTCCTTTATTCTCATAACGTGGGGAGAGTATAGATTTTGATGATATTATGTTGCTTGGGCGGTTTTTCATCTCGATTTTACACCTGTTGGGAAAGAACTGACAAATGTCGTGATTTTCCAAAGCATTCATTGCTCTGCAAGGTTCGCTTTTACAAAGCAAACGAATGAAAAACCTGACTAAAAGGATCCTTATATGTCAACAGACTTTTTTCATAGAAATATGTATAAAAAATCACACACAATATAATTACACCCTGAAGGACCAAAACGTGTTTAGACTGCGAACTACAGGACTAACATACTCACTGTAACTAACTCTTTGTAAACAGAGCAACTATGACTAAAATTTAAGGAAACTGAAAACTTTGGTAATTATTTACTTTATATCGGCAAATTTGCTTCGGAAATGCTTCGAATTTACCGAACTTTACATGCTTTCGATTTCAAGTGGTTAATATTCGTGCCTGTAGCTATATTTATAAATAGCTAGCCAGAGGATGAATGGATGATCTCGCATGGATGGCCTCTCTGTCACGCACGTGTGCTCTTAGTCACGTCATAAGCTCTTTACTTCATGCACGGAAGGTCACGATAGTATTACGAAAGCTTTCCGAACTCTCCCGAACAGATGGACAAGGCACGAACGAGTTACGTGCGTGATGTTCCGTGACGCATTAGATCACTTCAATCGTCTCACTCTCAGCTTGACATGTTTTCACTTACGCAACCTAATTTGAATTCGGCGAAATTTCCAAAACTACTCACGAATTTGTACAAATCATGTTTAGCTGAATGTATTTTGCCACAGCGTACCGTTTTAAGCAGGTTTAACCTTTAGATGAAACACGGTTTCAGGATTCTGGAGGTATTTTGAACAAGAAAAACTATTTAGCGACGCAGAATGCCTTTTGAATAATAAAAGAAACAAAAATATAGGAAGTTGTTTTTGAAACGCTGACAATTTCTTCCGAATTTGATATATTACTTCCTCAAGCCTGAGACTATCATCTCTTGACTTCCTGTAGAAGTAAAACTTCTTGGAACCTGTTCGCCGCGCAAAATTGAAATTTTTATCTATCATTTTATCATAATATTTTGACAAATTATTTCTATGCAAATTTCAATTTCTCTCCAACACGATAGCTGTGTAATTGATGTGATGGTCGAATATTTATCGTTGTTATAACAAAGCTCTTGATTAAGTCACTTAACGCATTGCAAATTTTACAAATTATTATGTTTTTGTCAATTTGCTTATTTGTTTACATTTGGTTTGTGTGGTTGAAGAAAAGGTGGAAAAAAGCAATTGAAAATTATTCCAGTACAAGATGATATTAACTGTCTACGTTTCTGAAAAATCTCCATACTGTTTTAGATATTTTTTTCCTACCTTTTGCGTCGAAAAAATATCGTATTTTCTTTTTCTTTTTCTTGTGGCTTTTTCCGATAAAAAAGGGAAACAGGTAAATCATTGCTTGAGATGTACGCAATGTTATTTTGATAACAATGAAAGTGTTTCAGCGATTTTAAAAGCTATAACGTGTATAACACCTCCAACAGTGCCCTGCATTCATTCAGTAATGACGTTTACAAGGAGTCTTTTTCTTCCAGCTCTTGCGATTGATTAATATTTAGCGCCTTAACGCGTAACAGGGTAAGCCAGTTGACGTAACGGCAGCCTCCGCGCTCTAAATTCTTATTGGTTATCACTGAACGAGCGCACGTTCTCCTCATGCAAAGCTTAACGATGACAGAAAAAGTGATTACAAGATTGTATAGGAGGTGCAAAGATCAGGTTTTCGCAATCTCTCGAGACCTGTCTCCTGTATGGTACAGCAATTTATTATTGTACTCCTAAATTGAAACGTGCCCGACTGCTATTCGAAATAAATGTTACCATTACATGCTGTGTATTAAACTACTCGTCCGAGTCGTCGTAGAAAATACTAAATAAAAAAAATGTATAAATATATACACATGATAAATTTTTTGCGCCTCCAGACAGTTACTGTACGAGACTGAATAAAATTTACGCTATATTGATTCGATAGATTCAAATTAATTTTAAGTGATAAAGTCGATGCTCCGAGGTAGCCCTTGAGTGATTTTACTTATCAAGCTTCCGCGCTAAGTCAGTAAGATTTTCTTCACAGCAGATTACGCAGAAAACATTACAGACACGGAAACAATTAGTTTTCCAGCAACGTCAGAAAATGCAAATTTTTTTTTTCACAGTGCTGAGAACAATGATAAAAAAGAGCAGAAAAGTAGATATGGTAAAAAGTATTAAGCATTGCGAAATGCCTATTTACACTGCTTGCTCCACATTTTCGGATCGCTTGTTACCGATGAAATATTGTGCTTGAAAATAAACAGCAATATCGAGCGCAGATGTGGGTTTCCTTTACGTAAACGGAATCAAAACATTTATTTTATTTTATTTTATTTTTTTTTTTTGAAAATAAGACAGGAGCTGGCGCCTGATGAAAATATATATCCAAATTTTGCACCTTTTTTCTTGGTATTTTTTACATCGTTTTTTCTTCGCAGTTGATTCAGAATGTATCGAAAAAATAGAGTGAATCGGAAATGTGGAAACTGTGTACAAAGCCGATAGCAACGGCGTCGCCAAATTCGATTGATCAACCTCTTTATTTATATAAAATTCACCACAAGGGCGATTTTAAACAAAATTTACGTCTGGTATCTCCTGGACGGTTGCCTACTGTTTATGTACAATATGAATGAAGCGTTTTCAATATTTTTCTCTCCTCTAAAAGCTGAAAAAATTTTAGCTTTGTAACAAAGCACGTACACCGTATCAGCGCTTTTGACAAATGGTTTGTCTAGATTCCCACATAGAAAGTGTTACCATGAAGAAAGATTTAGAGAACGCTTACGCGCTATTGATCATGAAGCAGATTGAAAATTATTTCGTACTCACAAATAGGGACTTGTGTCCATAAGTTCCTGAGTCTCAGCCACGACCATGGTTGCATTAGACGACGCAAACGCGACCTTCACTGTTGTATTTCTTCCAACGTTTAGCTGTCGTTCACCATATGCAAAATACAGTTTTCTGTTCATCAAAGACTATAATCCGGTCCCACGTCATTCAAAACAAAAGCTGACGTCATCCACTTCTCACTACGTCATGTAAACTTGAGTCAAAATCCATGCTTTCCGCTGTAAAATCTTCGAGTACTTTTCAACGTTGCGCAATGACATTTTCATAAGCTAAGACACATATTGGGTGATTAAAAGTACTCCGAATGAAAAATTTAGTAAGAGGGAAGAAAAAACTTTTGCGTGTTACCGCGCGAAGGTCAGCGTTTTTGAGTGCACTCGCCCGCGTAATACCGATCACGTGATAAGCGATATCCATGTCACCAAAGTAATTTGTAAGATTAGATCTCCTTATCTCGATATTTTTATTTATGTTATCTTTTTTTATGAAATGACAAAACGTAATAAAATCCATCTAAACAGTTACTCAAACAGGAAGGCGTCGAAAAGTTCATACGCTAACCGATAACCCTAGAAACAAATCGATTAAATTGACTTCCTCTCAAAAGTTATCTTCCCCTGACATCTCTCTTTTGAATTTTTGATGGAGTTGCTAGAAAATTCATTCACTTCAGAAAAACGTCGTCACCGGGCGAGCTTGTAGCGTCTTATTAACTGGGATGCTGAGCTGCTTATCTCAAATATTGCAAATTATTATCATAAATTATACTCTACTCTTCTGAATTTGTAAGAGCCATAACAGAAAACTATCCCACTGACATTGAAGGAAGGTTAACTGTCAGATTTCAACCAAGTCAAACATTTCTGTCATGATTCCTCGGCATTCCTGTGTGGACGGAAAACATTTTGAAAACGCAGTATTTAGAAAGCGATGACATTACGATATTCAAGTGATTTCCTTGCCATGGTCTTCCTCAAATACAAATCCAAAATGAGCGGCGATTGCTGCGTTTTCAAATTTCTCCGGTGTAGCGTGGACGGAAAACATTTGATGCGTTTTCAGAGTGAAAACGCCGTTTCAAATTTCTCCGGTGTGGTGTAGACTGCGTCTTAATTTTCAGGAACGATTTCGCCAATCGAAAGTAAAGCTGTAAAGCAAGGAAACATAAGACGAATCCGGGTGTAATAACCGGACGTAATATGGTTGTAAACTTTTTCCGCAAAGGAACTTCAGATTCTTGGAAACCATGACTCCACGCAACTATGTCAGCACCGGAAAATAAAATTGCAAACTGTTCGTAAACCGTTTGGGACAGTCATTATCTTTATTTAGTTATAAATGTTTCACTTTACAACGAGCATTGTGATTTCTTGTTTACTTGTTTTGCTTGAGGCTGTGGACGCACGATTGTGACGCATATGGTTATTGTGTATTGTTTACACAGTCAGATGCAAGTTTGGGAGAAATTGAAAGTACATGAAATGTCAACCCTTATCTTGGGTATACATAACCTCACTCGTTCTTCTAATGTGTGTATCATCATTAAAATTCAGTTTACTAGTCTGTCTCCCTATTTTATATTTTACTGAAACATCGCCCGACAAACAGGTACCTTCACATTTCGCATTTCATGCTCAAACGGTTTGGAAGCAAAACAAAGTGAACAAAATAACGAACGGATGATGACGAGTTTAAAAACTCATAATTTGATCCTTTTTTCCGACAGTTTTAACCCTTGTTATGGG